GAGAAAGAATTCAATGTGTTATGAGGTTTTTGCATGGTGGTTTCATCTAGTTCCACGTCCAAAAAGAAATGTGTTTTAAAAAAAAAAAGATGACTTTTGTTTAAAAATTGAAAAAGAGATCGTGAAAAACTTAATGCACTAAACACTTTTTCAAGACATGTTTAAGTTAAATAAAAAAATTATGTTTTAACAAAAAGATGTATAGATAAATAATAGTAAATATAAAGATTAAAAAGATGTGCTTATTTTAAAAAGCTTCAAAATGTGAAAAAACAACAAAAAGCATGAGCAAAAAATAAAGAAAGAATGCAATGAGTTAGAAATGAGGTTTTTGCATGGTGGTTCATCTAAGTTCCACGTCCAAAAAATGTGTTTTAAAGAAAATAAAAGATAATTTTTATTTAAAAAAATGACAAAGATATCGTGAAAAACTTAATGCACTAAACACTTTTTCAAGACATGTTTAAGCTAAATAAAAAAATTATGTTTTAACAAAAAATATAGACAAATAATAGGAAGTGGAAAGATGAAAAATATGTTATTATTTTTAAAAAAGCTTTACAATGTAAAAAAATCAACAAAAAGCACGAGGAAGAAACGAAATGGAATGCAACGATTTAGATATGGTGACTGTATAGTGGATCCATCTAATACCCCGTCAAAAAACTATTTTTAAAGAAAAACTAAGATGACTTTGTTTAAAAATTGAAAAAGATATTATGAAAAATATAATGCATTAAACACCTTTTCAAGACGTTAAATAAAAAAAATTCATGTTTCAATAAAAAATTATAGATAAATATTAGGAAGTGAAATGATTAAAAAGATGTAGTTACATTTTAAAAAAGCTTCAAAAATTAAAAAAAGCATTAAAAAGTAAATAAATAAACAAAAAGCATGTAAGAAAAAAGAGAAAAAAATGCCATGAGTTAGAAATGAGGTTTGCGCACGATAGTTTCATCTAGTTCCACGTCAAAAAAATATTTTGTAAAGAAAGTAAAAGATGACTTTGTTTAAAAATTGAGAAAGAAATCATGAAATAAACAAATTTTCAAGACAAGTTTCAGCTAAGTACATTTAGGTTTGCGCATGATAGTTTCATCTAGTCCCACGTCAAAAAAATATTTTGTAAAGAAAGTAAAAGATGACTTTGTTTAAAAATTGAGAAAGAAATCATAAACTAAACAAATTTTCAAGACATGTTTCGACTATGTAAAAAAATCATGTTTTCACAAAAAAAAAGAAAAATAATAGAAATACAAAGATTAAAAATATGTGCTAATATTTAAGAAAGCTTAAAAATGTAACAAAATCAACAAAAAGCCGGAGGAAAAAAGAGGGAAAGAATGCAATGAGATAGACATTGAGACTGTGCATGGTGGTTTCATCTAGTCCCATTTCAAAAATATATTTTTTAAAGAAAATAAAAGATGAGCTGTTTAAAAATTGAAAATGATATTATGAAAAATATAATGCATTAAAAAAAATTTAAGGCATGTTTAAGCTAAATAAAAAATAAAATTTCAATAAAAAAATTATAGATAAATAATAGAAAGTGAAAAAATTAAAAAGATGTTCATATTTAAAAAAAGGTTTAAAATTTTAAAAAGCATTAAAATGTCAAAAAAAAACTTGACAGCACGACAAAAAGAGAGAAATAATGCAAGGAGTTAAAAGTGAGGTTTGCCCAAGGTGGTTTCATCTAGTCCCACAGCAAAAATATATTTTTTAAAGAAAATAAAAGATATCTTTTAAAAAAATTGAGAAAGATAGATCATGAAAAAATATAATGCATTAAAAATATTTGCCGGACATGCTTAAGCTAAATGAAAAAAAAATCATGTTTCAATAAAAAAATTATAGATAAATAATAGGAAGTGAAATGGTTAAAAAGATGTGATTATATTTGAAAAAAGCTTCAAAATTTAAAAAGCATTAAAAAGTAAATAAAACAAACAAAAAGCACGAGGAGAGAGAGAGAGAGAGAACGGATGCAACGTGTTAGAAATAAGGTTTTTGCATGATGGCTCCATCTAGTCCCACATCAAAAGTACATTTTTTAAAAGAAAATAAATGACGATTCTGGCTTGAAAATTGAGAAAGGTATCGTGAAAAATTTAATACACTAAACACTTTTTCAAGACAAGTTTAAGCTAAATAAAAATTCATGTTTTCACAAAAAAATATAGATAAATAATAAAAAGTAAAAAGATTAAAAAGATGTGCTTATATTCAAAAAAAAGCTTTAAAATTTGAAAAAACAACAAAAAGCACGAGCCAGAAAAAAACTAATGCAATGAGTTATAAACGGAGTGTGTGCACGGTGGTTTCATCTAGTAACACAACAAAAATATATTTTTTAAGAAAATAAAAGATGACTTTTGTTTACAAACTGAGAAAGATATCGTGAAGAATATAATGCATTAAACACCTTTTCAAGACATGCTTAAGCTAAATAAAAAATCATGCTTCCAAAAAAAATATAGATAAATAATAAAAAGTGGAAAGACTAAAAAGATGTGTTTATTTTTAAAAAATATTTACAATGCAAAAAAATCAACAAAAAGCACAAGGAAAAAAAGAAAGTGAAACGAGTGAGATATTGTTTGCGCGCTTGGTGGTTTCATCTAATCCCACATAAAAAATATATTTTTTAAAAAAAGTTGAATTTTGTTTAAAAATTGAAAAAAAATCCCCAAAAATATAATGCATTAAACATTTTTTCAAGGCATGTTTAAGCTAAAATAAAAAAAAATCATGTTTCAATAAAAACTTATAGATAAATATTAGGAAGTCAAATGATTAAAAAGATGTGCTTATATTTTAAAAAAGCTTTAAAATTTTAAAAAAAGCATCAAAAAGTAAATAAATCAATAAAAAGCATGAAAAAAAGAGAGAGACAGAAAGAATGCAATGAGTTAAAAATAAGGTTTGCGCATGGGAGTCATCTAGTCCCACATCAAAAAAATATTTTTTAAAGAAAGGAAAAGATGACTTTAGTTTAAAAATTGAGAAAGATATCATGAAAAATTTAATGCATTAAACACTTTTTTGAAGACATGTTTAATCTAAATAAAAAATCATGTTTCCACAAAAAAATAGATAAATAATAGAAAGTGTAAAAATTAAAAAGATGTACTTGTATTTAAAAAAGCTTTAAAATAATAAAATCAACAAAAAGCATGAGGAACAAAGAGTGAAAGAATACAATGAGTTAGCTATGGTGAGAATGCAGGATGGTTTCATTTTGTCCCATGTCAAAAATATATTTTTCAAACAAAATAAAAGATGACTTGTTTAAAAATTAAAAATGATATCATGAAAAAATGTAATGCATTAAATACTTTTTCAAGACATGTTTAATCTAAATAAAAAATTATAAATAAATAATAGGAAGTGAAAAGATTAAAAAGATGTACTTATGTTTAAAAAAGCTTCAAATTTAAAAAAGCATTAAAATGTAAAAAAAAAACAACAAAATGCACATGGAAAAAAGAGAAATAATGCAATGAGTTAGAAATGAAGTGTGTGCAAGGTGGTTTCATCTAATCCCACCTCTAAAATTTTTTTTAAAAAAAATAAAAGATGACTTTTATTTAAAAATTGAGAAAGATACAATGAAAAATATAACACAGCAAACACATTTTCAAGACATGTTTAAGTTAAATAAAAAAAGCATGTTTCCACACAAAAAAATATAGATAAATAACAGAAAGTGCAAAGATTAAAAAATATGCTTATATTTAAAAAAATTAAAATTTAAAAAAGCTTTAAAATATTAAAAATGAAAAGCACAAGGGAAAAAAAAAGAAAGAATGCAATGAGTTAATGGGGTGTGATAATGGTGGTTTCATCTAGTGCCACACCAAAAATATATTTTTCTAAGAAAATAAAAGATGACTTTTGCTTAAAAATTGAGAAAGATCTCACAAAAAATATAATGCATTTTCAAGATATGTTTGAGATCAATAAAAAATCATGTTTATAAAAAATATAAATAGTGGTATTTAAAAACTTTATAATGTAAAAAAATCAACAAAAAGCATGAGGACAAGAGAGAAAGAATGTAATGAGCTAGATATGGGGTGTGTGTATGGTGGTTTCATCAAGTCCCACATCAAAAACATATTTTTTAAAAGAAAATAATTTAAAATTGAGAAAGATATCATTAAAAATATAATGCATGAAACACTTTTTCAAATCATGCTGAAGCTAAATAAAAAACCATGTTTCAACAAAAAATATTGAAAAATAGTAGAAAATGCAAAGATTAAAAACATGTGCTTGAAAATATAAAAAAAAAAGAACAAAAGCACCAAAAAAAACCAAAGAAAGAATGGAATGAGTTAGATGTGCTGTGTATGCATGGTGACTTCATCAATCTCACAAGGAAAATATATTTTTTAAAGAAAATAAAAGATGACTTTTATTTAAAAATTGAGATATCAAGAAAAACATAAAAGCGTTAAACACTTTTTGAAGACAAATAATAGGAAGTGCAAAGATTAAAAATATGAGCTTGAAATTAAAAAAGCTTTAAAATGTAAGAAAAAATCAAATAAAAGAGAACAATAACAAGAGAGAGAGAGAGAGAGAGAGAGAGAGAGAGAGAGTGCAATGAGTCATATATGGTGTGTGCGCATGGTGATTTCATCAAGTCCTACTTCAAAAATATATTTTTTTAAAGAAAATAAGAGATGAGTTTTATTTAAACATGGAGAAAGATATCAACAAAAATATAAAGCATTCAGCACTTTTTGAAGACATATTTTAGCTAAGTAAAAATTTCAAGTTTAAACAAAAAATATCGATAAATCAAAGAAGGTGAAAAGATTAAAAATATGTGCTTACATTTAAAAAGGATTTAAAATGTAAAAAAAAAAAATAAAAAGCACAAGAAAATAAGAGAAAGAAAGCAACAAGTTATATATAGTGCCCGTGCACCATAGTGGTTTCATCAAATCCTAAATTAAATCACTATTCAAAGGACAATGCATCACCTTTGATATACGTACTCCTACACTTCGATGTATTCCTGATCACTGCATGCATGAGATGCCTAAGTTCACACTAGCCCATTTCGGTCCTCTGCAGAGCAAGATCATAGAACACACAGTCAAATTGTTGAATCAACAGAAAGTAACAAGAACATGTACAATACATGACTGTCCTCTTTTATGGATCAATAAGTATAATTTCACTTGGTTTTTTAATCTCAAGGGATCCAGATCAATAATTTAGATGTGACCAGATACATACTTAGTTTTGCGATCAGCACACTCCCTATTTTCTGGTAATTTAAGAAGTCCTTCCAGTATCTGCATGTTTGAGTAAGGAAAAGATATTATCGAATAAGGAAAGGAAAGCACAATATGACAAATTTCAAATCAAGAAACATAAATATATATTGAATTTCACCCGTACAAAAATAAAGAATTGTGAATGCAAATTACAAAACATGCATTAAATTATGGATGCTTCAGACTGAAAAACTGGTTCCCAATCAGTAGAATTAAAACCAGACCCAAATTTACATAAGTGATAAGACAAAAACCAACCATCCAATTTTTAAAAATGGAAATGAATTAGTGTGGTCTCTTTGGCTCGAAAAATTGGAATACTAAACCGTGGATTATTAAGATTCATGTAACATCGTCACAATGTCTTCAAGAGTCTCACAACCAATCTATTGAGTGCCACCCTTTTTACGGGTTAAATAATCCTCAAAATTAGAAAATTATAACTACTCAGATAACTTTCCATACACAAAAACTAAAATTATAAAAACTTATAAATCAAATCGAGGCAAAGAGAAAAATCTGAAATTTTCTGCAGACTAACACAGATTGTGAGAATGGATAACACAAGTACAACGAAAATAACAATAACAATAGGTCATACAGATCCATAATAGATCATTAAGCAGGCGAATAGAATCAACGCAACCCCAAAAAGAAAAATGGAAGATTTAAAAGCATTAAGAAATAAAACGCGACTACCAAATTACTATCCTAAATCCCCACCAAGCAACCAAGACAGCTCGCATCAATCCGTAAACGTATCATAAACAGGTAGATCAAGCTCTCGCGAAACAATTATCTGAAACGACATCTCTAAGAGCTAATTGTACCATAAGCTTGCACGCACAAAAAAAAAAAAACATCAATTTGTTCCTACGATTTGCTGATATGCGTATGCACATGTTAGAGTACAATTAATTTCATATCCAATGGTAATGAGAAAATGAGAATAAGGCAGCTTGAAACAGGGAATCTTACCATCTCCTCCCTTCGCATGAATCAGAGCCAGCTTCCAATCATCGCCCATCAGCAGCGCCGCACCCTTTTGGCTCTCATTCAGTCGAGACCCCCTTCGATTTCCCTCGTCTCCTCCGCCAACCATTCACCCTGTTTCGCATAGTAGCCATCGGAGAGAGGAACCGCTTAAATCCTTTGCCGCCATTAAGCCCTAGATGAAAAAGAAACCACTCCAAAGGGTGGCGGAGAACTCTCCCGTACGGAGAGAACAAACACTCGCACATCAAGAGTGGGATTTAGATGGGAATCGGAGGTTTGGGGAGAAGAGAACCCAATATTTAGGTTCCCGTAGAAAAAATCTTGAGGAGAGATGATGTGGATGAGCGATTAATATTTCAGGCTTTTAGCCGTTGAGCTTCAGGGAAAAAGCACTCTTCGTTTAAGCCGGTCACGAGCAACCTGGCAGGGGGAAAAAAAAAAGGCATAATATAAAATATAATTTATTTATTTGTTGTTAGACATTGCTTAATCAAGATATTTTTCATTCATCATTAATTAGGGTAGAAAGTTGAGAGATGCAGTAAAGTGATTTGAACGTTGGAAAGAAAAACACTCTCTTCATTTAAAGCACGGTCACCAATAGAAGAAAAAAAAAACAACATAACATAAAATATTATTTATGCATCTATTTATTGTTAACTGTTGCTTAATCAAGATATTTTTCAAACTTGGATCATCGTTTATTAGGGTAGAAAACATAGACGTAATTTTACCGTTGTATACATTTATTATTTATTTTGTTTTTTGCCAGAATTTATTATTTATTTCGCACCTACATTATAATAATATTAAATAATATTACAATATTACAATATAATATAATTAACATTTTATTTTTATTTTTATAGAAATAGTTGGTGTTGGTTTATTTTTTAAATCTATTACTTATTCCATGTTTTATTTGTTTTTATTTTGATTGATCTATTTTTCGCACCTGATTTTGGTTTGAGTTTCTGCACTTTTCTTTTTTTAATTCACTTTTTATTTTTATTTTTAAAAATAATTGGTATTGATTTTAATTTTGAATCTATTATCAGTTACTTTTTTTTTCTTTTGTTTCTTGGTTGCATTTTGATTTTTGTTGATTTATTTTTTCATCTGATTTTGATTTTGATTTTGTTGATCTATCTAATTCCTTGATTGTTATTTGTTTTATTATTTCTTTACTTTTTCATGGATTTTTTTTTTTTCTGCAGCTTTCTTTTGAAGTTTATTTGGATTTTTTATTTTTATTTTTTATTGAAACTGTTTATATTATTGCCGAGAATAAAGGAGGAAATATACTGTTCAAAAAACCGTTAATCCATGGCTATCATATGGTGCACTTCACAATTATATTATGTAATTTATTATTTTAAATATTTGAAAATAAAAGAAAAATATTATTTTCTAATAATTTTTACTCTGTGTATCCCCACTAGTGAACCCTGCTGTGGATGATAATAAATTGGAGAAGTTTTATTTTGTAAATGAGTATTGTTTGGAGTCTTAAGAAATTTAAAGGACTATATTATGCTTGAATCTTTTTTTCTTTACTTCCCATATCCTTTCAATCTCATTCATTTTGAGATAAGTGTTTGAACTATCTCAATTATTATTGAAATAATTTAGCCTGAAGCATAAAAATTATTTTTATTTCATCTTGTTGCATGTTCATACCGATATGAACTGCTTCACACCAGTATGAAACCTTGACTCATACCTCAATCAACTTGCTCCTATCAAAATGAAGCTTAGTGCACACTGTCTGTCATTATTCTCATCTTCATATCGATACCAAATGTATTCATACAAATATGAAGAATTCATATCAATATAAGTGTTGTCACAGTGATATGAACTTTGCTTGGTCATCATCTTTTACTATTTTCATCTCAATATTAAACCTTTTCTACTTGAATGAGTTTTCATACCCTTTTCATTCTCTGTCCGTATTCATTCTAGTATGAATGATTTTCCTTGCGGTATGAACTTGAAGAATTTTTGCTCTGTTTTTCATATATCTTAATAGAGTATTCCTTAATCAATCATATCTCATTCAAATTTAATCTTTTCAGTTCCTTTCAATTGTGTTCATTATTATACCTTCCTAGAATTCTTTTAAATACAATCATAGGTTTGATTTAACAATTTTCATATCTTGATTTTTTTTATACTTGTATCAAAATTATTCTACTAGTGTCATTTTTTTTTTTTTACTTTTTGTTATAACATTTGTTGCATGCAACCATTATTTTCCTAAGTTGATAATAACACAAAAAATTGCCAAAAAGTACTGCCATATTGGGATAATCAACAAGAAAACTTAAAGCGATGAAGATGAAGACTATAACGGCTAATTTATAAGTATAACAGATTTATTTCAATGATCAACTATAAATATGACTTATTTATAAAGTAGAAGAAAAGATGTGATTTATTATTGAACTCACTCTATTCATCTCTATATTTCACACCTAAAACAAAGTAATTTAAATTTGAGAAGCTTAAGGGGATTTGTAATTACTTTTGTAAGGGAAAGAGTTTCAAAGTTAATAAGAATACTTTGGCAATCACAAGCTCAATTTAATCTTTGTGGATATACTCAATGGTGCCTCGGGGATTAGACATAGGTTTAAGTAGATAAACTCTCTGTGCAAAGTTTATCTTCCTTTCTCTCAGCTTTGTTTTGTGATGTCATGTCTTACTTATTTTTATTTCTATATTACTTGCTTTAAATTTTAATTAACTCAATTCACCTTCTTTTTTGGGCAGTTTTTACACCCACATAATTTAAAATTTAAAAACTTATCATTTGTATCCCATAATCTTTCATGGTGTGTGATTTTTAATTCATGCATAGTCTAAATAACATCTACACAAAATTATTTAATAATTCATTACCAACATATATTAAAAATTTAAACAATATATTGTATTACAAAATGTATTACAACATGCACCGTGATTAACTTTGCATTATTAAAATAGTAACAAATAATTTTAAAATTTTATAAATAAGAATATTTAAATTTATAATTTGTTACTCCTTTGTTTATTAAAAATATAAATAATGCAATAAAAATATAAATAACATATTTTATTTTCCCAATACTATCGTTTTAAAATTTATTTAAAAATTCAAAAATAATTTTAAAAGTACATAAATAAAAATATTTAAAATCATATATTTTTTATTGGAAAGTGGAATCTATACATGTTAAAAAGAAAAAAGGAAAGGCAAAAGCCAGTTACATCATAGACTTAGAGATTGAAAAAACTCTACATAATAACCATTTCTATTCTATAATTTTTTTTCTATCTATAACATATTTTATTCTGAAATTTATTATCATATAAAAATTACAGTATTAAAAATTAGTTATTTTATTTTAGAATCTTTTGTATTCATGCATGCTAAAAATATGATATATTTTATTCCATAACCTTTTAACCTACATAATTTTAAATATATTCTATAATTTATTTGATAATTTGATTCGTGTACATATTAAAATTTTAATATAATATTTTATTTCAAAATTTATTACCCTATATAATTTTTAATTACAAATCATTTAAATATGCCCCCTCCAATGTCCTTTAATAAAATTCTCCCTTTTTAAAATAAAATTTCAAAAAGTTTTTTAAAAAAGTAATTAAATAGTGGCAAAAGTACAGTGATTTAGTTCACGAATTTCAGTAGTTCTACAATGATCACCCATCAAACTTACTACAGTAGTTGATGATTGATAGGGAAATATTTATCAAAGAGACAGAACTTCAAACGAGTCGGGCTTACTTTGGCACAGCCTAAGTAAGCCCCACCTGAACAGGCCTGATTCCTTAAAAAGTTTAAATAGTTAAGTTTGATTCGAATTCTTTCAGGCTTCAGGCGACCCAAATACCCAAATTTTATTTTAAAAATTATTTTTAATTAATTTTTTAACTTTAAAATTAATTGTTTTATTTTATAAAAAATATAAAATATATATTTTTTATACTTAAATGATGTATAGAACTCAAATATATGATATTTTAACATAAAATTCCTTAAAACTTAAAAAATTAATTAATATTTATTGTATTTTACATATTTTTTAAAGAAAAAAATTTTTTTATTCGGATATTTGGGCTAAGATTGAACCTAAGCAGGTTTGGCCCGAATTTCTTTAGGCCTATTCAGGCTAGCCCAAAGAGGCTCGAACATAAAAAAACCTAGCCCGAATAGGCCCGAACATAAAAAACCATAATTTTTTAAAACTCAGCCCTAAATTTTTTTGGGCGGTTTCGGGCTAGCCCGTCGAGCTCAGCCCAAATTACCAGCCCTTAAAAATGTGTGTGTGTGAAAAATGAAGGGAAAATTTTATAAAAGATCCCTTCACTACATTTAATGAAAAAAAAAAACCCCTTAAAATCTGAAAAATCAATTTAAACTAGGGGTATTAAAGTAAAGTGAAAATATAGACTAAAATTACCTCATTGTCTCATCCCCTCTGATTTTCTACTAAAATTGTTTACTGACCTATTAGAGTTGTTGACATTGCTGCTCAATTTTATTTTAAATGCTTTAATTATGATAAAATGAGTTATTCATTTTCCTATAAAATTGTTCATTGACTTGCATAAAATTGATCATTAACTTATAGGAGTTGTTTGTGCCACTATTGAATCTTGATTTTATTTCAAATGTTGTAATAATAATAAAATGAGTTATAAATTTTTCTATATTAAGTTATTTATTGACCTACAAAAGTTGTTTTTGCCATTATCGAACAACTTTACATATAAAAATAAACAATTTCAGTAGAAAATCAAAGAGAATAAGGGGCAATGAAGTAATTTCACTCTACATTTTAATTTAACTTCAATACCCCTGGTTTTAACTGAATTTTCAAAATTTAAAGATCTTTTTTATTAAGTGTGGTTAAAGTGTCTTAAATGAAATTTTTGCAAAAATAAAAATAAAACTACGGTATGACTCTCAGCTGGTACAATGATATTATCATGAACAAGATTTTGGCCCCATAAAAAAAAATTGAAAAGCATGATATGGTAGGGATTATCTGTTAGGCACTACTTACAGACGAGTTTAGTTTAAAGAATTACGAGAAGCTAGAAGCTGCAGGCTTCCAACTTTCAGTCACAGGTAATGCGATGGTCGATGGACCCCACCTTTCTAAACAATGTTGCAGCCCAAGCCTTGTCATATGCTTTTTTCGTTAAAAATATAATACATTTTTCATTAAATTTTATTTTTTAATAAAATAATTTTTTATTGTTAAATTAATCTTATCTTTTTATATTTACTTCTATTAAACATTATATAATAAATATAAAATTATTCATTAATAGAGACAGTTTTAAAAAAAATAATGATTACA